CTCTCTTGCTAGAAACACCATCCACAAGGATGTCTGCCTGCTGCCTGGAGGCACAATGCTTTATCCAAAACTCTGTCTCTAGAAGAACAGAAAACGTCAGTGTGGCCTCGGGAAAAAACTGCCCAGTCCCAGCCAGTTTACCTGCCCCAAACTGGCACAGCTCCAAAGCCGATGTGTGACCTGGGAAGTTTGTGGTTTTCTGATCCACACGTGATGCTCCAAAAAAAGTAAAAATATTTCTATTTTTATAAAAAAAATTGGGGGGGAGGAAGGGTAAGGAAAGAGGATATATAGTTATATATTTACATGTATAAATCTAACTCATTTTTCAAGTTAGGACACTTTACTCTCCTTATGTTCCACATACAAAAATAATGTGTGTTCTTGATTAGAAAAAAATAATCCACAACATACTGTAAAAAGTTCCCTTCCCCAAGGAGCCCCCAAAGACCACCTTCCAGAAGCAACCTGTTAGCACATTTTTATTTACTCTTCTAGAAAATTTCTACATATGTGTAAACATAGATTTATATAATCGTTTTTTATATATATGAATAGGATATAATACATACTATTTATGTCATATTTTTAAGTTTTCTCACATAGATACATGACTAAATCTTTTCAAAATATAGATAGTCCCTGACTTAGAAGTGTGTGTAACCCAAAAACCTAATTTGTAAATAACCTTTCAGGAAGGAACTCAAAACACCTTTTCATAGAAATAATGTTCTAAATCAGAGTCAATACACTTTCTCTGTAGAGGGTCAGATACAGTTTTGCAGGTCACAGTCTCTGTCATGTGTTCTCTGGAATTTTTTGTTTGTTTTTGTTTACTATCTTTTTAAAATATGAAGATCAATCTTAGCTCTTAGGCTGTACAAAAACAGGCCTTCGGCTCATCTTGGCCTTCGGACTATAGTTTGCTGATCCCTGTTGTAAATAGCAGGTAGGCCTCCAGGTTAGGCCCCTAGAAGCAAAATTAACACATGACGTTGCTAAGATACCAAATTAGATAATGTATTTAAAATTGCTTTGTAAATCATGTCTATACCGATATGAAGAATTACTATTATAGTTCTTCAGTGGTTAGTATGTAATTTCTTAAAAGAAAAATTGTTAATACTGCATAAAAAAGTTTTATTGAATTGCATGAATAGTGAAGAATCTGAACAGAATGCTCAAGTAATTTAAAAGGCAAAAGAGGTAGATAACATTGTATTATATCCAATCCTTACTTTTTCATCAGCACAACATAAATACACATTGACTCAAAACTGGCTTGTGTGGTGTGAGTTCACAGGCCAAGTGGCCCCGTCCATCAAAATACAGAGTGTATCACTGAGCTTTTGCTACCTCCCCACTACACGTGGGCACTGAGGTTTTTCTTGTGCTTGTTGTGCACAGTCACATGCACTGACTGAAACCTTGAATACTCTGTGAGTTGCAACTACTGGAACCTATATAGAAGGGGCAGAGAGTGGAATAGAGAGGATGCTGGAGAGTCATTTGGTGCGTATTTAGATTAGGAAACTTATTTTTAACAATGTCCAAAAAAATCTCTATTACAGTTCATTGAGCTTTAATCCTTATGACTTACCTCTTTTCTGTCAGAGAGGTGGAGCTTACCTTAATAATTTCATACCATGATTATAATTTTATTTTCTCATAAAAAAAATGCAGAGATTTTCCTGAAATGTCCGAATTTGAATCAGGAAAGAAGGTAGAAGAGAAAGGGTGCTGAAGAGGATAACGTGTGAGGAAAGGCTAGAGATGGTGACTGCATGCATGGACAGTGAAGACAGCTCACGTGCAACCCCCGGAGGGGGAAGCCAGGTGGAAGGAAGATGTTGCTCTGGGCATGTGGCGTAATGTCGAGTTAGTCCTTAAGGTATGGCACTTTGTGATATCTCCCTTGATACCCTAAACTTGCTAGAGTTCTAGAACATCCTAGAACTTGCTATAAGGAGTCCTTTTAATTTTTAAAAATATTTCTGTAATATAAAAAGAAAACAGAGGCATTCATACATTGGATTTTAGGGACCCCTTGATTCCCGAGTCTGCTTGTCCAACCAGGTAAGCCAGAGCAGAGTGGCAAAAAAAAAGTGTCAGTGATGACAGGCACAATAAAATATTGCCTAAGTTTACAGACCAAGAATTTAGAAAATACCCTCCCAAGCATTATCCTTGTATCATTCTGTAAGGTCAGAGAGTTGAAGATGGACTTGCCCAAGTTGAAGTGACTTGCCCAAGATCACACAGCTAGCACAGGGTGGAGCAAAAAAAAAAAAAAATGGCACTTGAAGTTTCTGAAGCTAAACTCACACCCTACTTCCCAGGAGGTTCCATGCAGATCTGGTGTGAATGGGTATTTTCTTCACCCTGTTCTTTGTTTAGTGGTCTAATTCCCAAGAACTGTAAATAAAGTGTCCTGTACTTAGTAAGCACATGGAATAGCTGACCCTCAAGTAAACCAGCATGCTTTGCTGAACGTCTACATCTGCACTGGCAGAAGGAGTTACAGCCAAGCTGGGAAGGGAGCTAACTCTGGGGCCAGACTGGCTGGGTTGAAATCCTTGATGCATGCTCACCAGCACTGTGTGAACTTGAGCATGTGACCTTAACCTCTGATCAGTGTATGAAAAGCATATAGCCAAGGACGTGATAAAAGTTTAATAACATACGGAGTTCATTATTATTGAGTCTTCGTCTACCTTCTTGGGGACTATATCATAAAAAGGAAAACTACGAACAAGAGGTTGATTCATATCTTCAACTTCATTTTCTTCTCTCCAAAGAAAGTCACGAACACATAAACAGCATGAATGCCTTGTATACATATGCTTGTGGGTTTGGCTAATGAGTCTACCTTCACATGCTGGAATAATCGATCCCACCACTTAGGCCAAGCTACAATTTAAAAATTTAACGAATAGAACTCATCCTTCTAATCTCTTTCTATATGTGACTGACAAGCATCAACATTTCTTGTGACAGTTACTGTTCTGGAAACTTGGGGCAGGAGGGCCAAAAGTCAAAATTACGTGAGCACCTTGAAGTCCTGGAGTTTATCTCCAAGCTAGTGAAAATAATCAGCTATCAAGGGCTCCCCCTACAGGAACCAAAAAGGAAAGGCTCAAATTTAAGGTAGATACCATTTACGCATAGTACAGAGAATTGCGTTTCTTTTTCTTCTGAAAAATTTCCAACATGAAAAGAAATATAAGACTTGCTTCAAACTATTTGTTTCTGAGGGATAGAAGTTAATGACTTAGAGATCCAAATTTCCTCACAACAGGACACTGGAAATATATACCTAGAGATGGAAACTCACATGGGGAACTTAAGGATTGGGGTGCGGAGAGGCTTCAGAACAGGCTATATGAAAAACAGATGAAGAAAACAGGGGTGCTCATATGAGGGAAAACCAAAGAGTGGGGACGGTATTGGACAAACTAACATGGAAGTGCAGTTAGCCTTAAGCTATGAGGCCCCACTAGAGGGTAAAGCTATCAAATTTTATCTCATATAAAGGAAGAACATTCTAATAATGAGCACTGTCCATACCTAATGAGCTATGTACATAGGACAGGGGTTGAAGGAGCATCACTGAGGGAGTTAAGCAGGGGCTAGAAAGCCATATTGGAAATACTGAAGAGACTGAGATGAATACTGAGCTGACAGAGAAATAAGCTAGACTATATTTAAGAGTTTAGTTCTAAAATTCTGAGAATGTATATTAAAATCTCAAAATAACTGAAGAGTCTTCTCGCTAAAAGGCTGGCTGGTATCATCCTCAGAATTATTTTTTCCATATTAAGTATCAACATTTGGGCTTCAAGCCCTGATTCAGTCTCAAAACAATTTTAAGAGAAAAACATCAAAATCAAGATAAAGGATAGATTATACCAATGTCAACTTCCTAGTTTTCACATTATACTGTAGTTATGTCAGATGTTAGCAAAGGAAAAAGCTAGGTGACAGGTACAAGAGACCTCTGCACTATTTTTGCAACTTCTTGTGACTGTATTACAATCTCAAAACAAAAAGGCTTTTAAAAATCAAATTAAAGATACTTCCCCAAGAGAGTCTAAGTAACCTTAAAGACAATCCAGTTTGATTCAAGAATACAGTGTCATCAGCTACAAATGATTCTGTGCAAGTACATACAGGCGGCAGGGCTCATTTCAAAACCATGATCAATCAGCTATTAAGATTTACAATTGTGATTAGGAAAGCCTATGTCACATTGACAGGTGTCTAATTTGGTTACACTGGGCACAAATCTTCAGTTACCTGGGATCACACTGTTAAAATCACCTATAGTCAATACATGCTTACAAATTCTTCCTACAGTGGTACTATACAGGAACAATGTATAGACTTAATCACTACATTTATCTAACTGTAACAATAATGTCCTTATGTCTTCTTCCTCCACTATGACTTGCAACAAGAACTGCATCTTGTTCATCTCATTCTATCACCAAAACCTAACACATAATAGGTCTCAGTAAACAATCACAGAATAAATAAGAAAGAAATCAGTAATTAAGTTATTTTCTTGAAATTTTTAGGGTGGCTTTCTTTTCTGATACAAAGATATCTCTGAGTCTCTATTTTAGAATCAAGATTAAATATATATATATACACATATGTATGTGTGTGTGTGCATGTGTGTGTGTATATGTGACAAAAGCCTCTGAAACACAGGGGTTTAAACTCTAAAGATCTTTATAAACACCTGTTTTTGATTTGTTAGTTTTCTAAGATACGGTAGTAACTCAGTTTGATTTAGAATAAAATAGACCAGGCTTTTCCAGACAGGAAAACCAATATGAATTGTTGAACAGGTCCCCTTAGCTTGAAAGTCCCTGCTGGATGACCTTTGCCCAATTTTATCAAGTGCCAAAAACGATCAGCTTCTTTCAGAAATCACTGAGACAGTATCATCTTTGGATTCTTCGATATTAACCAATCAAAAAACATATGGCAAATTCTCTAAATTTGATCTCTCAGTTTATTAAAATACATGCTTTTCGAATAAATATTTTGAACTCAAATCAATCAAAGCAGTGAGACTACAAAGTGTTGCTTCTTTCTGCAAAGAAGGCACATAATTAGCTTTTACAGAAAATCCACCAGCTACATCTTATGTCAATTAGGCTGTCTTATAGACGTGATGGAGGATACTTACGATCCCAGAGACACCAAGGATTCTGCAGGGTCAGTCATCTGAACAGGCTCAGAAGCTGGCTTGATCCTTAGAACCTCTGCAAAGCCATCACCAAACCAGCAAGTGACATGTGCTATGTCTACAGTAAAGTAGAAAAGGCGGTCCTGGCAGAGCTTCCGTCGATACACAGACCGAGGGTCAGCTGACAGCACAGCCTCAATGGCATGCCTTGCTTCCTCTGCTGATTGAAAATATTTAAATGAAGCATGACTGACCTCTGCAATGAGAACAATAAAATTTAACAGTCAAAATCATGCAGGTCACAATTCCACTTCTGGGTATTTATCCAAAGACATCCAAAACACTAATTCAAAGATATAGGCACCATTATGTTCACTGAAGCATTATTTACAATAGCCAAGATATGGAAGCAACCTAAATGCCCATCAACAGACAACTGGATAAATTAGGTATGGTTCATACATATAATAGAATATTATTTGGCCATAAAAAATAAAGAAATCTTGCTATTTGCAGCAAAATGGATGGACCTACAGAGTATTATGCTGAGTGAAATAAGTCAGACAAAGAAAGACAAATAGCACATGATTTCACTTACGTGTGGAATCTAAAGAACGAAATAAACGAACAAGCTAACCAGAAACAGACTCATAGATACAGAGAACAAATTGATGGTTGCCAGATGGGAGGGGGGTTGGAGGGCCGAGTAAAAAAGGTGAAGGGATTAAGAAGTACAGATTGGTAGTTACAAAATAGTCACGGACACATAAAGTACAGCATAGAGAATATAGTCGATAACATTGTAATAACTACGTATGGTGCCAGGTGAGTACTAAACTTATCAGGTGATCGCTTTGTAAATTATATAAATGTCTTTCTATTATGCTGTACACTTGAAACTAATATAAAATAATGTCAAATGTCAATTACAATTGAAAAATTTTTTAAATCATGCAGGTCAAATTTTATTACAGTGAACTTCAATGAGGAGTTTCGTTGGTTCCTTGAATATCACTTGAAATGAATAGGGGTTGGAAATCTATTCAGTCATTACAGAGAATGTACCTTCAAGTGGTATTTACTGTCATTAGAGTAAAGTTATGTACTCCTCAAATTTTCATTTGCTGAACAAAAAATTCATGGTGATATTTTTTAGTCTCGTAAATGGGAGAGTTGAGCTTTTATTTTCTGGCAACCTAAATGTCATTTTTCTATGGTCAACATGGGCTTTAATTCAATTCTCTGTCATTTTCTTCTCAGAACGGAGGCATGAGCAGAGAAATGCATGAAAGTCCCAGCACTCTCAGCCACAAGAAAGGACTAAACCCACACATACCCAGAGCACTAGCTATAGGCAAGGGGTGCCTTAGAGAGCCAGTGTCACAGCCCCACAGTTAAATAACGCCACAGTCTCCAAGAACAAGGACACGAGAGAGTCCTGTGAAAACAGTGAAATAGATACAACTGAGAAAGTTCAATGCCATCCCACCCAGGAGCACATTTCAGGTAAACAGATGTTTACTCTGTCAAGTGACAAAACTTCCTATATTTATATCATTGTGGATGTTTTAATTTTTAAAAATATGATCTTAAAGAAACTAACTGTGACCTAATTTTTAATAGCTACAACATAACATACATCAAAATGAAAGCCAGGCCCTTCCAGGAGGGCATGCACTTTAAACAATGTTGTCTCTGTTCAAAATAGCATCTGCAGTGGTGGTAGGTCTTTATCCTTCTGAAAGTAAATTCAATTTTTAGAAAACAGCCAAAATTCACTCTGAGCTATGTCTAATAAATATGTTAGTAAGTAAAGCCATGAAATTCAATTTTTGGTCAAAAACCATGGACCAATTATGCAGTGCTAAGATTTCTTTATTGCACAGCTCATACAATGACTCTAAGGCCATTTGAAAAAGAGGAGTTCACACTCTTCACTAACAGTGTGTCTGAGAGGAGCTCAGGCCTTTGCTTGTTCATTTGGTGTAGGTGCCCTTCCCTCACTTCTCTGTCTACTTATCCTTCCCAGCTCAGCTCAAATACCTATTAACCTCCAGGAAGCCTTTCCAGACTTCCTGATCCCCAAGTCAGAATTCTCTTTCTCATGTGTCCACAGCACTCTATTCCAGAGCCAATTCCTTCCCATTTCAACATCTTTCATCTTTTCTAGGCTAAACTTTGTGAGGTCATATTTCTGCACTGGCTCTAAATTCTGCTGTTACAAATCAATCCCTGTTTTATAGTTATATTTCATAATTTCTCTTTTTAACCGTTTTTAATCAATAAAGCATATTGTAACCTCTCAGGCATACAACACTGTAGTTTGACAAAGGTAAAATTTTCCAAAGTAGGAAGCATTCAAAGATAACCACAAGACAAAGGGTAAGTATAATATAAAGTAACTTCTAGGTAGCACTGCTTTGTTCTACCACAAAATCCTTCTAAAATTCAACTTTCTCTTCCCATCAACTGTATACAGTGATGAAACAACCTTCATAAACAAAACTTTTTAAATAAAGAGATCAATTAAAAAGTCAAATGCTTTGTTTAAGCATAAAGCCTTAGGCAAGAATGAGAAGCCCAACCCTCCAGTGGCAGATGAAATCTGACATCTCAACTAACTGGCTACTTCTTACTACAGCCACTGCACCCACCTCTTAACAGCTCCTTCCTTCATTCTAGATTGCTGCTGGGGATCTGCTTTGGGCTGAAGAAACCAGGTAACAACGTTTGTTAAGAATCATGTGTTAAAGTAAACAGACTTCAAGTAAAAGCCCTGTGGACTCTCTTCTGCTAAGTGCGTGTTTCTAGTGCTGGGACTTTATGGGGACAATTTCTGTGCTAAAAGACTCTTTTCCCCTCTTACTCCGGAGGCTGAGCTATCAGCCACCTGACAGAATAAGCTAGGACATTTCTCTAGTCAGCTAATAAAACAGAGAAAAAACAATCTGAATAAGTATACAACACACACAATTTAGCTTCTGAATGCTGTTTGAAAACTCCAAGGACCACTGTCACATGGAGACACAAGGCTCTAAATCGTGGGCCACCTCATGAGGCAGGAGCCATTCTCAGCGAACACTTTACTGAGTGCCTGGGACACAGTGCTGCATAAACAGTCATTAAACAAAGTCATAAGATGATAGTGCTCCCCAAACATTGCTTTATACTCTTGTATTTCTTTACAACCAGTCGTACTGATAAATACTCTATATCAGCAGTCCCCAACCTTTTTGACATCAGGGACCGGTGCTCCTATGATAATCTAATGCCTGACGATCTGAGGTAGAGCTGAGGCGGTGATGCTAGTGCTGGGGGAGCAACTGCAAATACAGATGAAGCTTTGCAAGCTCCCCATCTCTCACCTCCTGCTGTGCGTCCTGGCCTAGGGTTGTGGATCCCTGCTGTATTTAACTGCTCTTGGAAATACCACATGTGACTGAACTCTGGGTAAAAGCTCATTTCACATTCAAAAATAAGAAACAGAAGTACCTGATTCCCCTTCTGAACTGAGGTGCCTCAGGTCCATCTCTGCATGAGGCGTAAACCGGACTTCCAAGGTGGCCACAGGAGCCTCTCGCACCCAGGTGGGAACCACACTGCGGTGGGCTGCATCGGCCAGCCTGGAAGGGCGGCCAAGAGGCACAGGCTGCACCTCTGCACTGTTCTCTTGTGGGACCACTGCTTCTTTCCCTCTTCTCAGCCTCTGATCTGTACCCTCCTCTGAAAGACTCTTCTCCAGATGATATGGGCCCATTTGCTCCTCTCCCACATTCGGACTTTGACCACCTCTAGGTCCTAACCCCAAGTCTGCTGCTATCTCCCTGTGCTTAGGCGAGCTTCGCTGAATTTTGGCTGTGTCGTGTTGTGTGCCGTTTTCTCCTGAAGTTCTGTCTTTGGGACATTTAGGCTTCTCCTTAGTGCGACTGCAGGACTGTGGTTCATCATACTGTGAGGGCTGCTGCTGGGCACAACTGTCAGTCTTGCCATCAGACCAAGACACGGTTTTTGGTTTATGTTGGTTATTGTGTAAATTAAACTCCCCTAAAGGCTCGATCAAATTTTGTGGCGAGTCATAATCAGCTATGTAGGGCTTTATGTCCAGTACAGGTGTGCCATGAATCATATCAATTCCAGAAAGGTATAGAGCTCCACCTATAATGTGAAAAACACCTCTTAGAAATATTAACAATGAAGAACAGTACAAACACTTGGAGAACCCACAGTGTCTATTATGCCACTTCAAGCTTACTAACAATTCTCACACACCGAGCTCTCTTACACATGGTGCCAACATACACTGGAGACCCACCCTCTTCCTTACCTGTCAGACTCCTACTTGCTCTTCAAGGCTCTCACATAACACCTCTCTTACAAAGTATTTCTGCCTCTTCTAAACAAAGGTTTTCTTTCCTCTGGGTTCCAGAAGAACCTGCATACATACCTCTCCTAGAGCCCTTTCCACACGGTCTGGCAATGACCTGCTTAGTCTCTCTCCCTAGACAGTAAGCACTTGAGCCCTTTGGCAAGGGGTGGGGACAACTCATCTTTGCATCACTGGGGCTTCTAACTCTGTTCCAGGCACATCGGTGTCCTCAGTATACCTCTGTGGAACTGGTGAGGATTTCTACTATGGCAAATAGACCCTAAGGTGGCCCCATTATGCCCACCTCCTGGTGTTTGAGGCTTTGTATAAACACTCCAGTGACTACATTATGCTATCTAAGATTCCTGTGCTTGCTGCAGACTTACTCGAGAGACTCTCTCTGTGGGCTTGACAAATAAGTAGCCACACTGGGAAAGCTCATGTGGCAAGGAACTACAGGCAGTCTCTAAGTACTGTGGGCAGCCTCTAGGAGCTGAGGGCAGCCACCAGCCAACAACCAGCAAGAGGCTGGGGCCCTCAGTCCCATAACTACAGCTGCGTGTTCCACTGATACAGCTGCTGTCCATTTCCTGCTACTAGTGCAAAGTCTACTAACTTGGAAAACTGGCAAAATGAAAATTAAAAAACTGTATATGATCACATTCACTTCTGTCTCCATTTAAGAAACACATGATTAACAAAGGACTTTGATTTCTAAAATATGCTTGCTGTGAATAAGCCTGGAACTTTGGAAAGGTGATTTTGGACTTCCTAAGTGATTATGCCTCACAATGTCTGCAGAAGAAAGGAAGGCACTGTGGCATAGGAAAGAGTTCATGGGATTTGGAGTCAGACAACCCTCTGGCTGGACGCTATTAGGTAAATGATCTAACATCAAAGAAGCTCAGTGCCCTCATCCATAAAATGGAGACTGCTACCCTATTAAACCCACAGAGCCACTATGAGATAACATACATGAACACTCTTTACAAACTATAAACATCACACAAACACCAGTAGTCACTACAGTGCTTATTTAGTAAGACTGTCTATAGTACTATTATTCTTGCCTCTCTTTTTTCTGATTCACTCTCCCTCATTAGAATGTTAAATTTTTCTGTAGGGCAGGGGTTTTTATCTGATTTGGTTACCATTATATCCCCAGCACCTAGGACAATGTCTGGCACATAGTCACTGCTCAGAAAATAGGTGTGGGTTGTACGAATTATCATAAAACGTTCCAGAACTGTTACCCAAGTTTGTCAGCCATCACAAATTGATAAAACTCAAGTTGGATCAGCCACAGAATTTTTCCAGAAAACCTACCCAAGGCCCGGTGAAAACATTCTAGCAGGGGAGTTCAAATTCTGAGAAAGTACAAGCAAAGTAACTGCTCTCATCTTTTTAGCACCCAACAGCTTGAAAAGTACTCTTAGAGCTTTTGTCTCATAAGATCCTCAAAAATATCCTGTGGAGTCCCGGAGAGGGCAGATTCTTCTCCTTCGCCCACTTTACAAACAAGCAAGCTGACATGGAATGGTCTCCTGACTCCCCAGTCTACCTGCTGTTTCACCTCCCCCTCTAACAAATGTGCTGACTAGGTCAGAGTGATTCAAGAAAGGGATGCTTTCCAAAAATGTCTGGCTCAGTAACTAGGTTACATATGAATATAGAGTTAAAATTAATCTGGTACTCTATGCAGGTACTGACACACCAGTGTTCAATACTATAGTGTGATTCATCTCAGACCCTCTGCCACACATCAGTTGACAGCTGCACTGCAGCTCCAGGCTGCCAGGAAGAAATGATACTACACTGCCCTATGTGCTTACCATATATGCATGTAAAACCAGTTAAGTCACTGTGTATTATATTTTGAAAATGTCCAATTATTTTTTAATCATTTTGTATTTGTTGCATTCCAAGTCAGAGAAAACTTGGTTACTAATTTAATGATTATGAAATATTAAAGTTATTTTTAAATAATTTAAACTTTTGATAAATGCAATGATATAAACAAACTCTGAGCATCCTATGAGAGCTTATTTCATAGTGTCTCAATGCTAACAAAGTGTATCAATGCTAAACACTAATGTTAAGTGTTTCAATTCTTTTAATCATTTCATTTTCTTCAATGTCTAATGATACTCAGGGGTTAACACCACTGATACTTGTCTGAATAACAGCCAGTGCTGAATACTATGTTGATTTTATTAAGACTTCATTTGGTTAAGGAGAAAAAGGTAAAGTAGAAACAAAGTGTGTTACCTTCTACCTTTTCCAGTTTGGCCAGGGTCAGTCCTATTGCATTGGGACGATGTGGACTCCTCGTGGAGAAAACTCCAGTCTTTGCACCATTCAGCCTAGGAGGCTGCACTTTTGCCTTACAGCTCAAATGACCATTTTTGTGAAAAACGAACAAAATCCTATAGAAAATAAACCAAACAACTGAGTAAAAAAAACAAAATACATACATTAATTTATCATAATGATTTGAGGGGGGAAAAGACTTTAATCCCCACAAATTAAAACAGAAAGAATGCTTTGAATGGTATTAAAATGTAATCAGTGGGGGGAAAATAATACTATTCCAGTTTCTTGAAGGAAGAAAGTCTTATCTCTGTATTCTTTGCTCCTAAAACAATGACTAGTATACTGCAGGAACCTAACAGACGTTTGTCAAATGCCTGAGTAAACAATATTTACTAGGTAAGTGTCTGCTATATGACAGGAAGTATGCTAGACATTTTTATACTCATTTCATTTAATCTACTTAACAATCCTAAGTATAATTTATCCCCCATTTGAAGGATGAGGGAATTGAGGCTCAGAAATGTTAAGTAACTTGACTAGGCCTTCCTACATAGATCAAAACCAAGAATACATGAAGAAATACAATAACAGACTTGAAGTCATTAAATCATTAAATTTATGTACTACAAAATGTCACCCCAGGAGAAAACATTTACAATGTGTATAATAGACAATGGGGTTAATACCTGTGGTATATAAACTGTTTCTACACAAAGTAAATCACAATGTAAAGGAAAGTTCAATAAAGGAAACTAAACAAAAGAATGTGAATAGGTAATCCACAAAAGTAACAGAAATAGCTAACAACTATACAAAAAGATTTTGAACCTCACTAATAATTAAGAAATTAAACTGAAAAACAAAATATTGTTTTTCTTGTCAGGCAAAAATGTAAAAAATTTATAACATATAGTGTTGGCATGAATAAAGGAAAAAGGTCATATTCATATACCTTTTAAGTATAAACTGGTTAAGCTTTACAGAGAGCAATTTGGCAGGAGTTCTCCAAAATTATAAATACGCATACACTCTAACCCAATAAGCCACTTTTGATATCCTACTCATAAAAATATACAAGTGCCCAAGTCATGTGTCTAAGGAGTTTGTTACAGCATTACTGTAATGGTAAAAAAAACTCTCTATTAACAAAGGAGTGGTCAAATCATGGCACAATAAAGGGTAACCATTAAAGCAAAAAAAGTTAAATCTATATGTTCTTCATAATATATACTAAGTGAAGAAAACAAACTGCATTTTTTTAAAACAAATACCCACTCTATATGTGTATATTTATGCTTATGTATCAAAAAAAGAAAAAGAAAGAAAAAGTCTGGAAGGATATATACCTAGCTGTTAACAATGATAATCTCTGAAGAGTGTCAGAGGGTGGGGATGAAAGAGAAAAATAGGAGGAATAAGGAAAAATCTATATACTTCTGAGTCCATTTTTTTTAAATCAGCAACGTTATAACTTAAAAATTTCAATCAAGATCATGCAAAGTAGGTCAGAACACCCATGTTCTTTCTACTCTAACCATGTCCCGAATTAACATGAAAAAGAAACTATTTCAGAACACTTAATTTTAGGTCTTCACCAGTAAAATTAGACCAATTCAGACTGCTGATGTTGGGGTGAGGAAGAATGGACAGAGGTAGAATTCCAAGTGACAGTAAGTAACTCTAGTATAAAACAGGCCCTAATACAGGTAACACTTTATTTAAAGTATCCAGATTTCTAAGGTGTCTTTTGTATTTTAGGAAGAATAGACTTAATTCTTCATGGGCCTAGAGCAGTGTCCACAAACTTTTTCTGTAAAGGGTCAGACAGTAAATATTTTAGGGTTTGCAGGCCAACCAGTCTCTGCTGTAACTATTCAAATCTGCCGCTGTGGCACAAAAGCAGCCACAGACATCACAAAAATGAATGCATGTGGCTGCGTTCCCATAAACTTACGTACAAAAACAGAAAGTAGGATGGATTTAGTCCACTGGCCATAGCTTGCTGAACCCTGGTCTTGAGGACAGAATAATGACCCATCGAAAAGATATACAGGTTTCAGCTCAACAGAAAGGCATTCATCACAATTAGAATCAACTGCAAATGGACCATGCCCCCTTAGTGGATCCCAAGGTTGCAGTGTTCAAGTTATGCAGACAATCACATGCGCAAATATAGTACAGGAATTTCATACAATAGACAAGGGTAGTCTGGATGGTAGGCTCCAAGGTTGCCTCCATCAGTGGTTACAGGTGAACTGGAGTACTTTATTCAGGGGCAAACTCTGGCCCAAAGTACCACTATAAAACAACTTACCAAACATGAGAAAATTGTTCTAAGCCCATCAAGGAATGTTCAGGATTATTAAAGATGCTCTTTCTAATTCTCAAACAAGCCCTTGAATAGCTACAAATGGATGGCTGCCTTGGAGTACCATTCTTGGCCAAGAAACAGGATTCCAAGTACCCAATTGGCTCAGTTAAAAGATTCCCTACAGAAGAAAATTAGAGTAGAAATCATTAGTCAAATGGTCATCAAAGATGTAAAAAAACATGTTTTTTTAAATGCACTGATTTCAGTTTTAAAATAGGTGTTATGCGACTATAGAACATGATTCTTATGGTATTCATGAATACATATAAATATCATCATTACATTCACATTGTTATATCCCTTTAGATGACATACTGGAAAGAGCACAGAGGTCTAAGAAAGAAAGAGGGAAAAGAAAAGGATGTTGTTAGAAGACCTAATAGGACCATAATTCAAATTCTATGTTTGCCTCTAAACATCAATATTAGGTTTTTTTTTAATTTCCTTCATGGCAGCAGAAAGACCTCATTTTCATAACATACTACTCTCTTGATACTTTCTTTAAAGATACTTTTCATTAAAGATTCTCTCATGAGGTACTTAACTGGGAGGTGGGAAGCTAAGAGGCTCAGGTCCTGGCTCCTCAGTGAATTTAACTGTATGACCTTGGTTATGTCATTTAATCTCTCTGTGCTTCAGTCTCCCTATCTTGTAAAATGAGAGTGATACCAAACTCACAGGTTGTTGCGGGGAGTAATTAGATATAATACCTGTAAATTATCTAAGGTTCTTGAAAAGGGTGCTATATAAATACAAAATAGTATCTATTAAAGTTGGTTTATTTGTGGGAAAAAAATTCTACACTATCATTACTAATTTACGTGACCTTGGTCAGGGCAAAGAGGGTATTTCAAATAAAGGAAATAATGTGCACAAAGTTAAATGAGAAATGTTATAGCATATGCAGAAATCAAGCTATTTTTATTTGCTGGAGTGTGAAATGCAAAGCAAAGAATAATGAAAGGAGACAGTGGTTGTATTTAAGTAAAGATGCTTTCAACTGAAAACAACATACGAAACAAACTAATTTAAGCAATAAAATGAGTGCATGGGCTCATACTACTAAAATATCTACAGGCAGGGTAAATTTCAGGTTAGGTTTGATCTAGTGGCTCTCTGCCCCTCTGGAATGTAAGCTCCACATGTGGGCAAGAGATTGTTTTGTTTATTGCTGTGTAATCATTGTCTAGTAGTACTTGCCTGCGTGAGGGAAAGTACTAAAAAAACTCATGTGTCATGAAAAAAGAATTATGTAAGTATTAACTGTTAAAATGGAAAATGACAAAATGAAAGAGAAATATGTATAACATAATCTCATCTGTAAAAACTTATTTACATTTTTATCTTTCTAAATATGTACATATATATGTCTAGAAAGCTATCTGGAAGGATATTCATCAAAATGTTAACAGTGGTTAAAATGGGTGAAGAGATATTTGGATTATTTGTATATTTAACTTAGTAATTCCTATAATATTTGAAATTTTTGCAATAATCACAAATCATTAAAAAAGTTTTAAAGCAGCAATTCCTTTTAAAAGAAGAAAAAATTGGTCAGGCAGCATCAATATGGGTCTAAAGTATAAGGTATCCACAACTACCATTTTGAATTTATAACTTTTTTTTCACATTTCATGACGGCTTTATTAACTTTTATAAAGAGGTGATATATAGACTCTCGAGACTCTGATTTTATTTCTAGCTTCCATTAAATCTGTTCTACCAGCACAGGTGGTAAGACTACAGGCCTTGGAACTGTTCCTCACAGCACCTTTCATTACTTTTCAATTTAAAAATTAAATTAATACCTATAAAGCATTAGATATAACACACACATAAGTAATAAAGCATAAAATTACAATGAAATCCTGTGTACCCACCACCCAGCCCAAGAACTAGAGCTTAACCAATAACTTGGAACTTTTAATGTTGCTTTTCTCCCCCAACTCCTCCTTTCCTCCTGAGATAAGCAGGAGCCTGAATGTGGTCTTTATCATTCACTTCCTTTTTAAATATGATTTTAGCACATGCATATACATGCCTAAACAATATTTCATTTATCCTGTCTTTGAGCACTATAAAAACTGGCTCAAAACTGTATGTTATCTTCTCGGCCATGCTTTCTCCCTCTCAATATTATGATTCCAAGATCCATGCGTATTCAGTGTTTTTGGTGACTTTAAATTTTTTTCCAAGTATGTTTATAAGCATTCTTTTTTTTTTTTATCCTCATCTATGCTCTGCAGAACAGATACAATAAACATCTTAAAGATGAAGAAAGTGAGGTCAGACAATTCTCTGGTGTGCATTAAAATGTCATGAAGAAAAATGGCCCAAAAGGATCCTAACCTAATCAGCTGGGATCCCTGTGTCCTGTTTTCATTTGTTTAACAAGCACTTTCCAAGTGTTTCAATTGTCAGACATTGTGCTAAGTTTGGGAAAAAGAACTCTTATCACAGTACAGTCAACTGTTGGGGAGAATCTCACAATATGTTTCAATATCATGGGAAATGTCATACCTGCAATAAGGATCAAAGACTTCTGTCCTTGATTATCTGACTGGAGCCCTACAAGTGTATAATTAACTGAGCTACCACTTTATTGAATCAGTCTATACCTGTTTTTCAAAGGTTACAGATATGCTATGATAAATATAAGTTGTAACCAATTAGATGTATTCCAATCCTTTTTGTGCATCTCTATAAAAATATAAGCAAGATAACACTGGATTAGCAATGAACTGGAAGCATACTATATCACTCTTAAATATTTGGGACCACTTTCAGTGTATGGAATGTCCATTTACTAACCTAGTGGGAACTTACCATATTCTAATATGTCTTAACTCTCTGGAACCTATTTATATATTCTCTGTGTCCCTGTTCTTAGGATTATAAATGCTGTGAAATACAAATGCTCAATACTTTCCAAATATAGATGTTACCTGAATGCTCTACTTGAAGTGGAGACCTGAGAACGTCCACCTAGAGGAATCCTGATCTTCCTCTTCCTCATATTTCAAAACACAAACAAACGAAACATGAAGCACCTACCACGTGGTATAAGTGCTATGCCAAGTGCCTGGATACAGACAAAATATGAAGCAGTTCTCATCCACAAGGGTGTCTAGTAAATGGACAGAGATGGACACTCAAAATTAAATCAAACTGCCTTCTATGCAGGATAGGGATAAGCACAGGTATCCCAGGGTAGTACTGGCATGAAAATCACATGGAAATAGGGTGAAATGGTTCCCTAAAGAAACATAGAAGGGTTAGGGCTGGTATCAGAAGAGAAAAAGGACAAAACAACACAGGGGTACTATACTAGCTGTGTGACCTTGGGCAAAACTGATTATCTCCCTGAATCCTAGTTTTCTCCTATCTTGGAAAGTTTTAAGATTAATAAACTTTGTAAAGCACCTAGTACAACAGAAGGTGCTCAGCAAGGAGCAGTTTTTGAAGCCCTTGCTCAGGCTTTTCCTTCCTTCTAATATTACAACTATATTAACTATGTAATAAGAAAAAAATCAGTTATGTTATTAATGCAGAGATTTTGTACAAAAGGCTTATTTACAAGAAGTCTTGTGCAGACAGAAAAGTTCAGGCCCTTTCCACGTCTTGCCTGGTTTATTAACTTATTCTTGTTATAATTCGACTCCTCTCTGGCATTTGCTCCCCTTCTCAAATCACACAACACTAATCCTCCAGACTGAGTTCCTTATGTCATGATACTCTAGCTTTAACTTCCCAAGTTTCCCACTGTTAGCAGATGGCGTATTTCTTAGCCTGATGTCCAAGGTTCTCTACAATCTGAATCCAATCAACAGTTTCCAAACCTCCCTGTTACATCCAGTACTTCAGGATTTACAGTTTCCCAATCCCATGCTCTGTCGACCACTGAGCCCTGCTCTTTCTTGCCTGTCAAAATATTAGACTTGTAATCTGGCAGTGCGCAACAATTTTTTTAAATGAGCACAACCTTTGACGAGGTAACAGAACATGTACAAAGATTTGTTTTAAGAATTTTCATTTAAAACAATGAAAACTGGCAATAACAAATGCCCAACAATAGGGAACTGGTTAAATAAGTTAGAGCACATCTATAAAACAAAATAGTGTATAACTCCTTTAAATTAATTGCCATGGAAAGATTTTTATTAACCCAGTTTTTTAAAAAGTTATATAACAGTGGGGGCGCATATCAACTCATTTTCTATTTTTTACTGAAACAAGTATGGAAGATAGACATCAAAATATTTAGCAGTGGTTTCCTCTGAGTGATGTCCGAGTACTTCCATTTGCTTCCTCCAGTTTCTGAAGTTAATACATTTTGCTTTATATAAAGAGGTGAAAATAAAGAGAAGCAAACTCATGTCTATCTTTCCAGACTCAGTTTAAAACTATTTGCTCCCCGACCTTTCCCCCTCCTCCCTCCTCATTCCTGACAACATAAGATGCTTCTCGCTTGTGGCATTTATTAATTCCTAACAGGCATGAAACCAGCCGCATATATTCTCCCTCTCCTGTATGAACGAAAACTCTCTAAGAGAAAGGCTGTACACTGCACGTGGCAGTTTCAGCCACGGTATCAAGACCAAGCAGGCCGTAGCTACCAAGAACAGAGCGATAACGTCATCCCGCTCGCCTCGGACATATCACGTGGTCGACAGACCACGTGACCCGTGCTTTCACAATAAGTATGATGACGCACGTCAGTTCAAAGTCTTGCAGTTCACGTCCCTCTCTGCTGTGAAGTAGGCTACCTGCATCCAGGCCTCTTCCGAGTGCGAAACTGCCAACCTCTCAGAAGTTACCTGTCTCCAGAGCCGGCTTCACGCACCCGCAAGGGGTCGCTGTAGGGCGAAGCCCTGGCTCCTCCAAGTCGCGCATGGCTACTGGTCACAGAAGTGCCCACCCGACGCACTCGTGCCTTCCGCTTCCTGTTTCCTAGCCTGGCGCCTGCGCAGTAGCCGCACCGGCGGGGTAGTGCCAAGGATCCGGCGCAAGGGCGTGGTGTGTGGCGTGTGCGCCAAGAGCGGGGGCATCCTGGAAGTTACGGCTAGGGCATAGAAGTATTATGTCGGTCTCTGTTCCCGTCCAGGATAGATGTCTCAGTTGTCTCGCGCAGTTGTCTCGTGCGGACTCACTGTGGTTGCCAGTCTTTCCAGGACAGTCAGCGACTCCTAATTCTCATGCTTTCCAGGGCGGGGACATACCAATGAAAATTTAGAAGATGTCTCGAAATAATCAGCAACCTACATATTCAGCCATGACGCTAACTTTTGAAGAAAAAGGATATATATGTGCATTCACCACGTAGCAAAATTACCGGATATTAGGAAATGTTTAAAATTCTCCTCGGGTGCTGGAAATACAGATAATCATTTTTACTTATATGTATGTTCTCATTTTTCCATAATAACAATGGTGGTTTGTCAGAAAGGTACCCCCCAAGTAAACCTTATTTCAAATTAATGGATGGGGACCCTCATACTGGATTAGAGATTAAAAAGTGGGGACTTTCTTGTGCTCCCTACCTTAAGGGAACTGAAGTTAGAATGAAATTGAGAGTCGACATGCCATTTATGTTAGAGGGATTATGCCTGTGTCTGGGCAGCTCTGAAAAACTGGCATCAATAATTCTGTTTCTGGGGGTATTTTATCCTGTTGGTTCAGGTAGGGGGGTGGAGGAAAGACATATTGCTTGCAATATAAATTATTCAAAAGCATATAAGTCCACAGATTTAAAAGCTTCACAACCATGAAAAAGATGTTTCTAAACTTTTTATTTGTCATAGACTAATAGGTCCACTAGTAGAAAGTTACCAGGAGAAAGAGCCAAAGATTTAGAGATTGTAGTTTAAAAGAAAAAAATAAGTCCCTTTAAAATTTGATCACATTCATGCACGTATTCTCTAATAGGTCTTTTCTACATGACAATTTGGAAAAGAATGCTATTATTCTGTTTCCAGAAGGAAACAGTTTTGTGTAGCTGAAGAAACAAGTTTGAGAACCGCTGTTACATACATGTTGTAAAACTGGGGCTGTAATAGTTGTATTTGCCACTAGATGGTGGTGCTGCTGAAAGTGATAGTCTTGCTTACTTTGTGGACAGACTAGAAAATGAGAGGTCCCTTCTGGCCTCAGATATCATATGTAATGATAACATGCATCCATATAAAATACATTAATTACCAAGTGCGACAAGTGCTGGAATGCGAAGCAGACTTGGAGACACCGGTGAAGTAGGTTGCTACCTCTTTTAAAGGTAAAATTTTTCTTTATGGAAAACAGGAACTTAAATATGTAGCACTTTTATTATATGATTTGAAGTTTTAATATCCTATCTAGAGTTATATACGAGTGTTGGTAGTTTGTAAAACAACTCTTTTTCTGGAAGTAGGACCCAGGAATCTGCCTTAACCTAAAGGATTCTAATACAGGTGGTCGTCAGCCTACACTTTTGAGAAAACACTTCTCAGTATAATGACTCAATCTATCATTTGGTGGAGGATCCCATTAAAAATCAACTAAAGCTTTAGATTTTCTCACACATCATTTTAGATTTAATATCTTAAGGCTCGTTTTTTTTTTTTTTAAGACCCACCATTGTACTTACCATGAAAAGAAGGCAGCACAAGGAGGGCTAGATGGATTCTTACAAAACTTTAATTCTGACTGACCTCCAGGTTCTAGCTAAGAAGAAAACTAGAAAGTATTTAGAAGTGCACTGGTGTTTGAATGAGAATAGTAAGAAAGCAGTGGTTGTATGTATATGGGGAGTAAGAGGGCAGACAGAAAGGGTCCTAAAAGATAGAAAGCAAAGATCCCTCTTTCTCTAATGTACTAGATCCTTATTCCATCTCCTTCCCCATCTCTTTCACCTTGTTCCCCTGTACATTGTACATAAGCAAATCTCTTAAGGTTCATCTTAATGTAGTGCTGTGAGAACTTGAGATTTCAGTTTTCTCTTTTTTTCTCTAATTTTGACCCATCCTAGCAGATTTCCAAAAATTGAGCACTATCACAAAAAGCACCGAGGAAGTTAGATGTGACTTTGGGTGAGTGCCCAGCCTCTCCAAGGTTATTCCCCCATCTGTAAAATGGGAATGATAATCATTGCCCAGCCTATTTCAAAGACTCCTGTACAGATTAAAAAGTATAATTGAAATTATAAAATTCTGAAGTGCCATCCAGATGTAAGGGACTATCATAGGATATGCTGCCCTCAATATGTTACTTAAGTAATATAATAGGGTATGAGTAATCATTGAACAATTAACATATCCTGAGGGGGGAAATTTTTAAAGTTTGTGGAGGAAAGTGTGGCAAATAGAAGGGAAATAGCATTGTAACCTCCCACTATACCAGTGGTCCTCAACCCTAGCTGCACATTAGAATTGTCTGGAGAGCTTTTAAAATGCCCTCAATGCAATGTTGTATCCTAGATTGGATCCTGAAGCAGAAAAAAAGACATTAGTAGAAAAAATAATAAAATTCAAATATCTGTAGTTTCCTTAATGGTAATGTAACATTCTTAATTTCTTAAGTTTTGATAAATGAATCATGGTTATGTAAGATGTTAATATTTTAGGATAAACTGTGTGAGAGGTATACAGAATGTTTGTACAATCTTTACGAGTTTTCTATAATTCTAAAATTATTCCTCAAAAATTATTTAGAGCAAAAGTAATTAAAAAAATAAATATTCCTATGTCTGGATGTCACCCTAGGTGAATAGAATCCCTGAGGTGGTGTCTGGTCATCTGTAACTTTGAAATCTTCCCCAGTGGTTTTAATATACCGTCAGGGTTGAGAACTGCTATTCTACACCATGAATGCTTGAGAGACTGGGATCCTGTCTTGTTCTTCGCTGTAGCCTAGCACCCAACACAATACCTACGTGGAGAGCTTACACAGTTATGCCCTTGCTGAACCAAACCTTTTTTTGTAGAAATCTCCTTTACTTTGAGTCCTCTGAAACAACAGAAGGAAAACTGAAAACAACGCTCCCCTCTCCACCAAAAAAAAAACAAAACAAAAAAACAAAAGACAAAAACAAAAACCAGGAGATTTTCAGACACCTTCCCACCCTACTCCTGCCCCTGTTTTCTTCACATTTTCAGTTAATCCTGACCATTATCACCAGGATAAATTTTCCTAAAATACTAAAACTGTCACTCTGTTGTTCAAAAGTCTTACTTAGTTCTCCATTACCTAACAAGTGATATACTTCTTAGTTAATGTGAAATTCTGTACACTAGTAATACAAGGTTTTTAGCCCACTAGCCTATTCCACATAGATCCTGTATTAACTGAACGTCTTAAACATCTTGAATTCACTCCTCTCTATGTCATGCACAATAATACTATTATCCTCTCTTTCAAGGCTCCACTCATGTAATTTTTCAGGTCACTCCAGCAAAAATGTGAACATTCCTTTTATTTTATCTACTATTCAAATAGCACTAGAATTTACTATTTTCTTTTGTAATTATTTGTTTTCTGTTTTATTCCCCCATCAGACTAGATCAAACCCTTGGTGGGCATGGACAATATTTTATAGGTCTTCTAACCCTCAAAATGCTTACCATGATGTGGTGGTCCACACAGTTAAGCATGTAACAATGTTTTAATGTACATTCTGCACAAATACAATATTTAAAAAGTAAAAATAGAAAATCAAAACTCAAATACTAAGTAAACTTCATTTAGCACTCCAAAAACTCTTTGAAGGAGTCCTAGAACAATAAGGACTGTTAAAATTAACTTAAAAGGCTAATTAAAGCCTTAATAAAATGTTGATGCTATTATTACATTAATAATTGAACAAAGTTTACAAGAAAACTATATACTCCCCCAAATTTTAAGTGTTCAGACTTATTAACTTTTCTCTTAATAATTAATCAAAGAAATGTTTATTCTTAGTGGGAAAAATTATTCAGTCTTCTCTTTCCCATTTTTGTCTCTTCCCACCACAATATTCACCCCAATATACATATACATAACATACACACATGCACACACACACTAGCAGGATATTTTCTACGTAGTAGAGCCTGAAAAAACACATTAGTTCTCTCTTTTAGATATGGTCTATACATGGAAAAAAATGCTAGTAAAATATTAATGAATATTGTAGAGATTCCTACACTATTTTGAGAAAATCACACATATAATATATTATGATGTGTATTTTGTTGAACAACTCTGATGGTTGAGCATTGTTAAAACAAAACATAACTATAGACGTCATTTTCTGGGTGAATCTCTTGAGGAATGCTTGGAGTTGCTGGTATCTCCGGTTCTTGTGTGTTGGGTTTTTCTTTCGTTTCTGTAAAATCAAATAAAATATGAAAATAGGTTCAATAAATGGTATTGGGACAATTGACTATCCATTTGGAGGGAAAAACTCACACCTTGCACAAAAACAAATTTCAGGTGAATTAAAGATTTAAATATTAAAACACCATTAATGTAGAAATCATAAAATCTTCTTATAATCTTAGGATTATAAAGGCTTTTCTAAGCAGAACACAGGTCAGAAACCATAAAGGCAAAGATTGATATGTTTGAATAACTAAAATCTAAAAATTAAAATTTTGTCATGTAGATGACAAAAAACACTATAAACAAAGTTAAACCACAAACAACTGGGAAAATATTTACAACTTTTATGTCAGTTAAAGTTTAATAGCTATTAGTTAAAGAGATTTTTAAGCAATCGAAAAAGATATCTCAAATTTAAAATGGAACAAGGACTCAAACAGGAAATTCTCAAAAGAAAAACTTCAAATTCATAATAATCATGAAAAGATGCCAAGTAGTGCTAGTCATCAAAAGAGTGGACATTAAAACATTAGTTTTTTTTAATCTAGCAGATAGGCAAAGATTTTTAAACCATTACTCGGAAACCTACTAACCCCATGTTTTTGTTGCACTCATCTTTTAGGAGAAAGAGCAAATAAACTACCAAAGGAATTTTTTTAAGAAAAGAATTCCCTGGGGATAACTATGGTCTGATAGTCTCGGCTTATTAAAGTTCTGTCTACAGCATTGTGCAAAGAGAATCGAGGTGCTCAGTTATGTCCCTAGGGCAAGTCAAATTGAAGAAAGGTCACATTATTTTCAAAGTGCTATGCTTAGGAGAAAGCTTTTCAGGAACAAATATTGAAATAGAAAGGGTTTTGGTAAACCTGATAATCCTACAAGAATGTGTTCCCTAGTAACAGGGATCATATTTTACACCTTTGTATCTCCCTTGGTACTTTATTCCAAGAATTTACTTGCCTTTAGTTTGCCAGGAAAATTTACTTTTTGAGAAAAACTTTATTCATCAAGTCTTGTTCTAAATCTAAACTTAATTATCCTTTAAAATATTTTGCATATTATTCATCCTATATTGGATTCATTTCATTAGCTAAATCTTCCCAGAGTAAATCATATGCACAGGTACCTACTATACACACTTATATTTTCAATTATTTTCATTTAATTCTTTGGAAATGTGCCAGACATTGGTTGAATGAAAAAGTAGCCAATGACATTAATGATATCTCTTGAGATAACTGGGGATAATCTAGGATAGTCAAAGGAGGCTATAAATCACCACCCTGAAATAGACCTATTTGATGTTCTATAATGGGAACACGATTACATGGCAGTGTCACTGACTTGTCCCCTACAAACAACCCTTACCTCGAGGGAAAGTATGAATATCCTTAGCATCTTCCTGCTGTGCTTTAGGATCCTGGCCTTGGGGCCCGCCTGTTTCTTGGTAGGGTTCTAAAAAGCATTCTTTAGGGATATTCTTATTTTTATATGCCTTAGTAGAGAGGTCTTCAGGCCCAGATGTTTCTTGGTATATTTCAGGTACACAGATTTCAAGACCAGGTGTTTCTTGGTATCTTTCAGGTGAATATTCTTCAGACCCAGGTGTTTCTTGGTATATCTCAGGTGGATATTCTTCAGGAGCAGATGTTTCTTGGATTGTTTTATGAGAGAGAGTTTTAGGCCCAGCAATTTCTTTATGTACTTTATGAGAAAAGTGTTCAGGTTCAACTATTTCTTGGTATATTTTTGTAGAAAGGTCGTTAGGCACAGCTATTTGTTGTGTTTTAGGATGGAAATTTTTGGTCTCAGCTATTCCTTGACCTGGTTCAGAATCATATTCCTTGGGCTCAGCTCTTTTTTGGTATATTTCAAGAGCATAGCCTTTAGGCACATCTGGTTTGGGGTACGGTTCAAGAGAACATCCTTCCAGGTTGGCTATGTCTTCAGATGTTTTAGAAGGAAGGGCTTTGTCTACAGTTGTTTCTTGGCACATTTTAGGAGAGAGGTCTTCAGGTTCAGCAATATCACAGCACATTTTGAAAGAATGGTCTTGAAGTACAACTATTTCTTGGCACATTTTAGGAGAGTGGTCTTCGGGTTTAGCCATACCTGGGCCTATTTCAGAGGGGTGGTTTTGTTCGGTTGTTTCTTGGTACTTAGAAGAATTTTCCTGATGTACAATGCTTTCTGGAGCTATTGCAGGAAAATGTTTCTCAGGTACAACTCTTTTGGGGGAGGCTACTGGAGGGAGAACTTCGGTTCCATTACTAGGTAATTCAGTTTCTTTCTCTGTAGGTGCCAGTGCTTTTTCCATCATTTCTTTTTCTAATTGTGACTGAGGCTCCATCTTCAGTTCTGTATTTTGTTGTCTCTTTCGGCCTCTTTGATATCCTTTTCCTGTTCTCTGCCACTTTTGTTTTTTCTCCCTGTGGAGAGATCAGAATTAGTGTCAGCAGTGGGGCTACAGAATTCATATAAATGTTTAGTAATAACAGTCCTGGTCTCCTACTGCCTTGTTGCAAGACCTTGAACAAGTCACTTAATCTCTCTGGACCTCAATCTCCTTGTTTGTAAAATGAAGGGGGCAGTGCTAGATGTTCTCAATTGTCAGGAGAGAAAATGTCCCTTTGTTTTTGATGCTTTCCCCACAGAAAGTATAGTGTGTGTATTTGAGAGCATATACTTAGAGTTTGGTTATGAAAAACATATAATTGGTATTATAAGCGAACAGATTAACATTCTGGTTTCTATATTAGTCTCTTTGGGTTTAATCTGTGGGAATTAGTCCCACTATGCCCTGGGTAAATTAATATAGTTGTGTTTCTAGATTTGCAATCCAAGCACGGCTCCTTGTTCTGTGCAGCCTGAAGGTGGATGATGTATATGGCTTCCTTATCTAATACTATGTCTTGTGTGAAGAATACTAAGTAGCTACAATACACATCAAATGAAATATACTGCAAGCTGAGTCAAAAGCTGCAAAAAAACATTTTCTGAGGTTAAGAAGCCTGGTGGAAAGGCATGAGTGGCCATATTATTCCTATTCTGAACTAACAGCTAGGTTAAAGATATAAAAAATGAAAGGATATACATGGAAATTATGGCCAATGACAAATTGTTAGGTACTGCAAATATAACCAAATACAGATGGCTAATACAGATGGGCTCAGGGGAGAGAAAAAGTACTATAAATAAACATTTCATCATTTTTCTAAAGTTGTTAAAATTCTATCCCAAGCTACCTGCTCCATGAAGCCTTCTCTTACAGACAACAGGATTGAACTACTCTCCCTGCTTAGTGCTTTTTTTATGAGGATCATGCTTAAGATAAGGAACGTAGGTTGCCTTAATCTGTAGTTATTTCTGGAGAAATCTTATTTCTTTTAGTAAACTAGATATTCTTTAATGATAAAACCAATGTCTTATATCTTTGCAGTGCTCATAGTTCCTTGCACACTTAAAAAAAAGTATGCCCTATTTGACTTTTGTGTAAGCTTGAAATTTCCATAATTAAAAAAATGTTAAAAATTCCCTCATCAAAGCCAATTTGAAGTCACTATAAAAAGTATATATGTAATAGGTCAGTATTACATTTACAAGTATAGGTAATACTTGAAGTATAATGCCAAGTAAACAAAGTAACAAGATAAATTATAAAGTTCTTAATGTCAGATTAAGAAAAGATGGTATATCTGAATTCTTCAGGAAGCAATTATTTTTCCTAGCTATTAAGTCCTAAATAATTTGTTATGTAGATCTCTATATGAGAGAATCTGACTAATATAATGTTCCATGTTCTTCCTGGTAGTTTTTCAAAAGATACAAATATATCTATGTGGCCTAAAATTTAATCTGTACTCTATAATTTATCAACTATGTGATCATGGGTAAGTCACTTAACCTCTCTATGCCTTGGCTTCTTCATAGGTTAAATGGAGTATATAGTATCTACCCAACCTCATGTGGTTGTTGTAATTATTTCATATGATAACTTGCATAAATTAATTATCTGAATATAGGGTAGTAAGTACTCTTATATTCATATAGGAAACACTTAGAATGCTTCCTAGGTGCCAGGCACTGTTTTAAGTAATTTCCTTATTCTGTTATCTCATATAATCCTCATATCAATTTATGAGGCAGATATTATTATTATCTCCATTTTGCAGATGACAAAACTGAGGCCCAGAGATCTTGAGTAACCCATCCAAGGTCAAGTGGCTAAGAAGTGGGGGAGCTGGTTTCTAATCTAGTCATTCTGGTTTTAACAGCCCAGCCCTTAGCCATTATTCTCTGCTGCTTTCTTCTGGAACTACTGTTTCACTGTGTGGTATGTTGTTGTGAGAACAGCCATCAGTAGCATAGAAATGTATCACCAGAGCAAGGCCAGCCAGCTGCAAGAGGTTCACCAAGGTGTCATCTACTTTGGTGACTTCCTCAGCCTTGGCCCCTGAGCCCAGGAAACACAGACACTCAATTCTATCAGCCCACTAAGACTGGTTCCATTTATCAGGGGCAGAGCTCATCAATCAGCTCAAAGAGATTGATATGTAAACCTAACGACTGATTTCTAAATGAACAGTGAGCAATGCCAAGTCCACAGCAGAGAATGCTTGAACTGACAAGCGAATGTACTCTTTCTCTGTAGCAAGCACTTGGAAAGCCAAACAATTATCAGAAAGTTCCCTTTCAAATGTGGAATTAGGGAAGCTAATTGGATACTTTTCAACAGTCACCGGCCAGAGAACCCAAGTACAAAAGTTTTTGCTAAAACAAAATATACACATTCCTGAAATACCTCACTTTATGCAAAATCATGCACTAAAAGTAACGGTATTTATAAGGAAAAAAATAAAGCTAGGGCATCTGATTAAAAAACTATGCAACTTTTAATACTAACAAATACTAACAAAAACTTGAATAGTCCAGACAGGCAGTTTACCATGTCTGGAGGCTGCCTCAGGATAGTAAAAACTGCACAAAAGTAAGTGTAAATTCAGGTATTTAGCTGCTGAGATCATGCTAACGAGTGTGGCACTCTGAGCCAGCAGGGCTACTATTAAGTTGGGCACAAGAAGTGCAACCTGCTATGTGTGGAAAGCTGTGCGAGGCTGGTGGTGCCCTTCTCTCGCGGAACAGCCGTGGATGCAGGCTGAAAAGGATCCTGCCTGTATAAGCAACCACGCTCAAGTTGTTTTCCTTTCCTGCTAAAGGTTTTAATTCTATTTCCACTATCCTGTCTCCTCTGACTAGGAAAAATCATGAATCAACACAACTTCCATATTATACTGACGTCATTCTTCTATTTACCAATCATATGTGAACTAATTGGTGGTGTAGCAGAACAGACAATACTCAGTCCGTATCAGGGATACACATTTTCTTAAGAAGAGTGCTTAGATCAGTGGTTCTCAACAGGGGGCAGTATTAGCCCCTCTCTATTTACTCCAGGAGACATCTTACAATGTCTGGAGACATTTTTGGTTTCACAGCTGGGGGAGGGGGAAGTGCTATTGGTTCCTAGAAGGCAGAGATGCTGCTAAACATCCTTTATACACATGACAACTTCCCACACAAAGAAGTATCCTGCCCACAGTGTCAGTAGTGCCAAGGTGGAGAAACTCTGACTTGGAAGGACGCTGTGCTCCTTGGCTACTTGGGTTCCCCTTTTCTGTATACAAGCAAGCAATACAATCATATTCTAAATGGATGCAGTTCGATGCTGCCTAATTTACAATCATTTTCTTGTACTCCCTCCCTGAGATGACAGACGGGTGACTTTGATTGGAACTCCCAAACTCTCCCATCACTCATGTTTTGATTTATTCCATGGAGAGATAATCATACTCATTTGATAAAGATTACTAATAGAAAGCTTGGGACACAGCTCAAAGGTTTTCTCAATAGTGTCTCCCACTCCCAACAACAAGATGCTTCTGTGCTTATATTACCAGAGTAGTTGAACACAGGGCCTCTCTACAGTATAATTCGATTGTCTGGTGCTTTAATGAAAAGAGATCAGGGATAAAATTCTGTTCTCACCACTTTACTAGGTGTGCGACTTTAGTCAAGATATTTAAACCACTGGACACTTGGTTTTATTTTATTTTTTTTGTAATAGGGATAACAGCTCCTGATTTACAGGATTGCTGGAGAGATAAAATATAGTGTGTGAAATGCTCATCAGTACTTGGCACATAGCATATGCTGGATAAATATCAGTTTCTTTTTCCCTTGCAAGGAAACCATACCCAAATTGCCATTGTGAAGTCTGCTTTTCTTGTGCTTCAGCTTTTCTTTTTCTGAGTTGCTCTCTGTTTCTCAAATTCCAAGTTCCAATGACTTCTGTAAGATCAAAATGAAAGTTATGGGAAGCAGTGATGAATTGTCTTGCAGCTAAGTGGTAGAAACTCTGCTGGGGGTCTACGTCCTTCTCCTAGCTTTTTGAGGACAAGGACTCTGTCTTATTTATCCTTGTACCTCCAAAGGATGCCTAAGAGCAAACAGGAAACGTTTTTAAATGAAAAGGTCAGGATTTGTAAGCATGTTACCAACCTATTTTCAAAATAATTTTATATATTGTACAAACATAAAATAAAAGAAAAAAATCAGCCATGTTCTGTCATCTTTAACATTATACTTGTTTTCATTTTAATTCCTCATACCCGTCTAGGTTCTATATTACACAAAGTTGCAATAATATACCACGATCTTATCATTTATTAACAACATTATTTCAGAAACATTTTCCATGATCTAGTCTTCATAATTATAACTTTAATAACTACATGGTACTCAATCAAGTTGGTGTTTTCTCATTTACTCAGTCATTCTACTTGTATTGAACATTCAGGTCGTTGCCAGATTTTTTTTTTTTTTTTGCTATTGTAAATCCAACTGTAATAAGCATATTCATGCATACAGTTATTTTTTCCTTTGGCTTTTTCTTGAGGATGGCGTTTCTCCAAGTTCTTTGAAATAATAGAGGTATCACCAAAAAAGTTTCTGTTGTTATCCAAGTTTGAACAAGTTAATGAGTCATTGATGTAGAACTTAGAACCTGTGGCATGATAACCGATTTGCACTAGGACCCCGAAAAGATAGAGCATGCCCCTTGGACCACAGCACCTTTTGTCCTTAGGACAGAGGTTCTTAATGGTGAACTTTGATGGGACAAAATTATACCTTTATTTTTACCAATCTCTAATTAAAATTACCATTTCCTTCAATTATGAATTCAGGTAACAAACCACAGTAGTTTTAGCAGTATGTGACTTTGTCACCAAAAGAAATTAGATTTTTTCCTATCACATTAAAGTAGTTCCAGGTACCTTAAAATATTATTTATTTTTTATGCTAGTTTATTTGCTTTTTTCATACCATATATAATTTTTTAAACATTTTATTTTTATTTTTCATTCATTTATTTTTCTCCCCTCCCCCAATATTATTTATTTTAAATGCTATATTTGATTTGATATAATCATTATTAGCTCCACTATTGGATCTTGTTATTTAATGCATCTGTATAAAGCACATATAGTAAATACCACAGTTTTTCATTTTGACAACTGTATCTTATTATAATTGTTTCCTTTGTAATCCTTTGCATTTAATTTTGTGTATTTAAAAAATTTATTCTAAGAAGGGGTCTTGGGGTTCATCAGAATGTCAAAGGGGTCCATGGCACAAAAAAGTTTAAAAACACTGTCTGTCTCGAGGCCTAGGATTTTGCAAAACATTTTGAGAAATGCTGCTTTAGGATAGATCCAGTGAATAAGACTAGTGAACCAAAAGAATAAGCACTATAGGTCTTACTACCTATTGCCATGTCTCCCCAAAAATTATTCCAAATTTACATTACCATAGAAGTATATGGGTATGCTTGCTTTACCACAAACATCCAATACTGGGTATTTTCACTATCTTTCATTTCAATATATTTCTTATTAGGAAATAATTTATTATTTCCTGTGTTTCTCTGGCTTATTAGAATCTTAGCACTAGAAGGCACCTCAGGAAGTTATACAGCCCGATTCTTCCCATCTAAATTTATATGAAAGTACTCAATTATGCCTTCCTTTTTCCAGAGCTATAAAAAAGAGGAAAATAATCATAGCCCCAGTTCTTCCCGAGAGACCTCTTATGGTCTCTTTCATTACCTGGAACATGTTTCTTTTCTTGATGAGGATCAGGTGTCTGATGGAGCTTCAAATAAGATTGGTCCTTTCCCAAATCCATCTTGCTGCAATACCTTTCTGCTATTTGGTCTGACTTCTTTACCCTGCCTTTTAAAAAAAAGATCAAAAGCAATTAACAGTTAAACACACACGCGCGCGCGCACACGCACGCACAAACACACACACACACACACACAAGTTCACTTGTCACTTGACTTCCCGCCTAAAAATTTTATCTAGTTAGACCACAGCTGCTGGTTACTTCTACTTTCTTTATCATACTGCACAGGTGTGAGTAGGGGGCATGGCTGCTGCTATGTTCTCACCCTCTAGCACAGTGCCTAGTTATAGAGGAGCCCCATGACCACAGCCTCGCATGCACAGCCTCTGGTACAGCAGCCATTTGGTTCTGTCTGCCAAGTGCCTGAGTCTGAACTTCTGTTTTACATACGAGGTGGCACAATATAGAAAGAACGCTAGGCCTAGGATCTAACCAGCATCATGACCTAGAACAAGTCACCTGCCCTTTCTGTGACTCTCCTCATTTGCAAAGTGGGTAAAAATAATTCCTGACTTGCCCACCTCACACAGTTCTTGTGAACGTGAAAATAATGTGAAAATTATGAAATGTGCATACAGATGTAAAATTAATCTCATATTGTTTTTCTGCATGTGGCATTTTTTTCACCTTAATCTGTTGCAAAATAATGTAAAGTCTTGCTGTGTATGCTGTTATAGACCTAGATGATAGACATAAAGAACCAAATTAGGAATTCAGAGCAAATTTGAACCCTTTTCTGCTCATCCGATCATTCACAAGTGACTCAAGATAACTAATGAAATACACTGTTATTCATTCAGGGAAGGTCAAAAAGCATTTCCTAATGAAATATCACCACATTATGTTGATATTCAAATAAAGTTGAAACCAAAGGAATCACCCCATCTCCCATCAGTCACTCCATTTGTGAAGGCAAAAGGCACAGAGAACCGTGGTTGTTCAATAAAGGAAGGAACACTGAACACCTCCTGGTATCAGCAGCCAGTCTGGGAGATGCAGGGTTCATAAGGTGTTCTGGAGTCACAGACTGAATTGAAGAGAGTTTGAATTACAGTGTTGCCACATTCCCTAATGCAGTGACCTTATGCAAGTTAGATAGTCATGGAGCCAGTTTACCTATCTACAAAAGGTAGATACTGCAGATAATATCAGTATCTGCCTCATGGGGTTATTGAGTTGACTATATCACATAATCTGTATAAGGCATTTTATGTGCCTGACATCTTGAATTTGCTTAATTGTTAGCTGCTTTTATTAATAATTATAAATAAAAATATAGTAGCCAGACTTTGGAAAAACAGGTCATAGTTTAAGTGCACTAAAGAAACAGAAGATCTGAAAGTCCTTTATAATGTGAATAGGTGCTCCTCCTTCTACAGACTCTTAAGGTGTTAGTACTGGAAGGGCCGCTGGAACCATCTAATCCCTTCCCCTATTTTATATACAGAGAAACTGTGAACCAAGGAAGGATTTACCTGTCCCAAATTTTCTTACTTGTTACTGGCAGCACCTCTTACTGTTTATAAGATGGGCTATCTTTTTATGCTTGATCTTGCTTGGGTATGAAAATGTATGTGTGATGCAAACATACGAAAGAAGCAAGTTTTTCAAACACACTGAAAAGTCTTGAGAATTACGTAACAAACACAGTAGTATCTACCACCAAAACTTAGCGTGGTTTTTAATAAGCAGATCCTAATGCTTTAGCTTTAAGTTTCTCAGTTCCCATGTTTTCTCATAAGTCTCTACCTAAAAATTCAGGTAAGTTCAAAGGAATCTTGTAGGGAATGGAGAGCATGCTTTGTAATTTAACTCTTGATAGTTTTTGGATTTTCAGATGAAGGGTTTTAAAAAATCAAATACGAATTAAAAGTAACTGAAAATTATAAAATAGTAGCATTTTATAATTTAAATTTTCATTAAAAGATTGGTTTCTATTTGAGATGTTTTAATTCTTACTAGTTAGGTTGTTTCCTCATGATAGATCAATAAAATAACCTTATAGAATTCCTCTGGGGCACCTTACAGAAGATGCAGAAGTGCTTCTTAAATAGTATTATCCTTACTCAGAGCTTATGACACCTACCCAGTTTAACGATTCAGCAAACCTTACCGAATGCCCACTCTGTACCACACACTGAGCAAGGCTGTCAAGGCACAAAGATGGACACATGCAGTCCCTGTGTTCTAAGTACTGTAGCCTCATAGAGAAACATATACATCTTTATTGTAAGGAAATATTTAGATTTTTTATGCCCTGTCACAACTTTCCTTAGTTGATGCCACCCCTGCCTCATGTTCCTTGTATCTAGGAGCAGAATGTGAAGGGACCGTAAGAGAGTGGGGTCTCAGATAACAGTTAATTAGGGGGCAATTTGGGTGGAGGGTGCCAGTGGAGGGACTTTGGAGCACACTAGATTGGAAGTCAGGCAAGGTGTCTCTGGTGTGATAAGGAGGCCAGAGCAGGAACTTGTCTGAGACAGAAATAACCACACCGTAAGTTCACAAGCCATAGTTCATTGTCCCTTCTCTCTCTAGAAAACTCTAGAGTCATTGCCAGAATGTGAGATGTTAGGCATGAAAGGCTGGATTTTTTTAACAAATGCTGCCTTGTTCTAGAGTTATTTGTACATGTACATTAAACCTCCCTCTAGGCCACAAACTCTTAGGCTTACCCCTCTATCTCCACACTATAGTCTGTGAGAGGCTTGGCCCACAGTAGTCCCCATGAATGCCTTCATTCCTGAATGCAGGGCTAGCTTCATGGGTGTGCAGCCTATGAAAGTACTTTATACACCCAGAGGGGCTGATATGACTGTTGTTTAATAATAGTAATACCATCATCTGTTCCAGAACTTTCTGTCATTCACTGACACTGTCCTATGTGCCAGAGATACAGCAGTTAAAAGATAAAGTCCCTGCCCTTACAGAGGCTACAGTCTAATGGGGAGAGTTAAACAATAAGCAAATAAATAAAATATAATATGTATCAGATGGTGATGAGTGCTTTAGAGAAAAGTGAGCAGGGAATGATAGGATGGGGAATGAGGGGGGAAAGTTGATGGTGGTTGCTATTAAAATAGGGTGGTCAGGGAAGGCTTGACTGATAGGGACAATTGAGTAGAACTGAAGGAAGTGAGGGGCCTGCTAGTCTGATATCTGGGAGAGCATTCCAGGTGGAAGGACACCAACAAATGGCCTGAGGAGAGGGAGTAATAGAAGGTGGGTTCACAGAGGTGGCTTGGTACCTCTTGTGGGGATTTCTACTCTGATTGAGATGCATAGTCATGGGATGGTTTTGAACAGAGGAGTGATGCAAACTGACATAATTTTAAAGGATTATCTTGGCAACTGTGTGGAGAATAGACTATTGGGCATATAGAGAGGTGGTGGAAGCAGGGAGATGAGTTAGGTTTTGCAGTAATCCCGGTGAGAAATGATTAAGGCCTGGACTGTGATGATGGTGGTGAAGAAGTGGTCAGATTCTGGAGCAGCTTATAAATTAGATATGGAGTGAGAGATAAAGAGTCAAAGACGTTGATGAGGGTCTCAGTCTGAGCAACTGGAAGGATGGAGTTACCATGAACAGATAAAAACTGGAAGGAGCAGGCTTGCAAGAGATTATCAGGGGTTTTGTTTTGGACATGCTAATCAATTAGAGAGAAAACAGCAAAGGAGCAGAGGTAAACCAAAGTTTAGTGTCCTAGAAGCCAAGTGGAAAAAAGGCTTCAAGAAGGAGGGAGTGATCAACTATGGCAAATGTGCGAATAAGTAAAGGAAAGATTGAGAATTGTCCCAACAACTTAATTCAATTCATTATAGACTGTAGAGCTCCAAGAGGTTAAATGACTTGGGCATAGACAGGACCAGCTACATAATTTGCAGGGCCCAGTTCAAAACGAAAATGCATAGCCCCTCCTTCAAAAATTATTAAGAATTTCAAGATGGCTACACAAGGAAATTAAACCCACCACAGGGCCCTACTTTCTTGAGTCTTATAGAATAGCTATTATTATTCTCATTTTTTAGACAAAGGCACTGGTGCTCAGTATACAGAGTGATTTAACAAAGGTCATAGAGCTAGGCTGATAGCTTGAGCCTGGAAACTGAGCCGTCAGCCTCCAAGTCCGGCCTTCTTCCTGCTAGCCCAAACTAGATATTGAGGGAGAGAACTGCTTTCCTGCCTCCTGACCCATCTGGATTAAGTATTAAGGCCTTGGTCATGCACTTCAGAGGCCTGAGTGAACTGGGCAGATGTGAGAGGGAAGAAAGCACATTGCTAAGAACTTCTGTCCTAGGGCTCTTTATGATGGAGGTGGAAAAGTGGCACTGGATACTGTTTAGTCACAAACATGACTTTGGTAAAGGTGTCCAAAGCTAATGTAGTTTAAGGCTATGTTGATAAAATTATAGCACCCCAAAACCAGGGAGATCAGAGTCCTGCTACACTTTGGTTTGCCATTCCACACCTGGAGTGTTAGTATACTGTAAAGACCAGGTGAATGGTATTTGAAAACATGTACTAAAAAGAGCAAGGAGTCTGGGACTCTATCATTTCCTTGTTGTGTAATTTGGGGGAAACTTCTCAATTCTTTTTGATTCTCAGTGTTTTCTCTTGTAAAATGGAGAAAAAGTAATACAAGGATTATGTGAGAATAAAAGAGTTCACGAGAGCTTTTTATAAAATGAGAAGCACTGTGCAGAGAGAAGTGCCATAAACTTGGGTGGTGTTAATAGTATTATTAGAGTGTTCTAATGATGTACCTGGGCATTTTCTTTGAGTGCATGTGGGTGGAAAGGTCAAAATAAGGGAAGCTATTGCACACTTCTTTTTTTTAGTGTTCCTTCCATGCTGAAATACTTTTTCAAAGCATTTAAATTCTTTTCAAAAAGTGGATCAAGCTTTGTCTTCCTAAGCAGGGAAGGAGGGTTTCTTCTTTCTCTCTCACACAGACTGTTGATGCGTGATAAATGGGCCTGTCTCTGCTAAAACAGATGCTGCTGTACACATACAGATAACATGTTCTCGGACTTTAATTTAGAATGG